TATAAGAAAATAAGTAGGGTGGGAGGGAGGGAGACGCAAGAGGGAAGAGATATGGGAACATATGTATATGTATAACTGATTCACCTTGTTATAAAGCAGAAACTAACACACCATTGTAAAGCAATTATACCCCAATAACGATGTTAAAAAAAAAAAAGAAGTAGGTAGTTGTAAACAGTAAGGACAAGCATTTGTTTATTAAAGTGTTCTGCCTGTACAGAGTCTGAGTAAACAGATATATTCTCTATGTACTCCATAAAATTTTTTAAAAAAAACAGAGGCACTACTGTTGAAATTTATAGTACTAATTATTTTTGTGTTCTAGAATGAAAGTTCATTGTAATAGATAGGATATATTAACCAAGTGCACAGAAAATAGAAGTCCCAAGATAGATGGTGCTATTGCAGTAGGCCAGTTAACAGCCCCCTAGAGCAAAGGCCAGTAAAAGCTAAGAAAATTATTTTCTTTTAAGAGTCTTGGGTCGGGGTGAGGGATGAGACGACACAAAGATTCTGAACTGAAAAAGATCTAACAGTTCTCATCATCATCATCTCAGTTACTGTTACTCTTTTTCCTTTTCCATCTTTAAAGATCCTCTGTTGGTTCATTCTTTTCTCAAATATCTGTCAGCAGTGCTTCTTCAAGTACCAGACTTTAAAGGTGACATGAGAAGACGCCTTCCTCCTGAAGAGCACAGGGCTTTCAAAGCTTTGAAAATAAAGGTTGTTCCCACAGCAGTAGGACTTCAGAAAGGGCAGTGATCCTCAATTAACTGTAGCAGAGACTCACCCCTCACAGAACCTCCTCCATACTGTATATAGCCTACTCTATATTCTCACTATGTGTGCATTAACCCATCCTGGCATTCAAAGAGCTAGTTGTAGTTTCCATAAAATAACTTTTACAAAAACCTCTGTCTCACTGATTGTTTGTGATGCTGAAAGATAGAAAAGCATTTTTCCCAGGTTACATAAAGGTAAAGGCATTTTTCTACTGCAAGAAAGCATAATGCCAGTAGTAATCAATGTTTTATAAGTGGGATGAGAATGCCATTAAGATTCTAAGGCAGTATCCTAAGAGATCCCTTTTGTTTACAGGTGGCAGAACATCAGCTGTTCAACACAAACAATGAGTAGTAGTAGAGTCAACTAATTACCTCCATCCTGCCTCTGCTCAACTCTTCTTTCCCCCAGTACCGACTCCCTACTCTCAGGGGTAGAAGATAAGCAGATGGATGTGAGCAGGTGCACAGGACCTTGTGTAGCCACCAGCCCTGAGAGCAATTGGCCAACACCCTTGAAGCCAGTTAAACTCTTAGAAAATGGTTTCCAAACTCCAGCAGATGGCCTACTGTTCCCAGTTGTGCTGTTCTACATCTATATGACTCCATATAAGAAACAAAAATCTGCGAGTTGGAGGATTGCTTCTCTGTAGTATATTCTATTGGGCATTTTATGATTTTACTCCATAACTAGTGCATTTTCTTCATAATGGAAAGCTTGGCCTGGTTCTGTTTTCTCCACTGGTAGAATGCCTCAAAGTGATAAAAGTTGTGTGGTTAACACTCACCAAGGACTTGAATATGTTTTCATTTTACAAACAAGAAAGCAGATGATTAACAGAAGTTGTTGCAGTTAGATGGGGATAAGTCAGGCTTCAAACTCACAACCTCTACCACACAAAGTAAGCCAGTTATGATTGCAATTCAGTTTTTATATTTATTTTTTTGGAGGATAACAAAATCACCATTATAAAAATCTTAATTTTAATAAAACATTTCTGATTTCTAAACTGTTTTTAAACTACTTTTTCTGTTTCTGACTCTTTTCTGAACACTATGAAGGTCAACCTCTAGTGAATGATTATGGAACTTTTCTGCCAGAATATATTTCATTTTCTCTTTATTGTACTATTTAGAATCCTTCAGATATTTAACTTCTGCTTTCTCTCCCTTCTTCTCTATTTCCATTTCTTTTCCCTATCACCACTCACCTACTCAAACTGTGAATGCTATTTTAGAGCCCATTTTAAAAATAAAAGGTCACTTTAAAAGCCAATGTCCTGCATACCTGCTCCTAAATTTTTTACACTTTTATTGTTGTAGTCTCTAATTAGGGATTGGAGTTTGGCTTTTATAAGTCCAAGGAGGATGAGAATTTCTTCTTTGGCATGAACATATACCCACACTGCCTAATGCAGCAAGAGTATCTTCCTAATTCAGAGTTAGAACCCTGATGGAGGAAACAGTTATAAGAAAAAGTGTGGAAAACAAATGGAAATGCATTTTTACAATGATTCTCCTGAGGACATCCCCAGATTCCAGTCATTTTTTTCTAGTAGCCAGATTATCTTGGCTTTTATTTTAAGATGGGAAAAGTCTCATCTCTCTGGCTAATGGACAGCCAGTCTACAGGAATTTCCCCCTTTCCTGGACACAGGATGAAAATCAGAAAGCTCTTATGCCATTCTTAAATCCAACTTTCCAGATATCTACTTGAAAAACATTGATATAATGCCAAATCACGAGGCATTTTTTTATCCCTTATAATCAGTGAAGTTTGTTTTGACTTGAATATTTTTAATTGAATAAACAAAGAGTATGGAAGAAGGCAAGTGAGGTCTGAATATGGAATGGAGTCTTATGGAACTGACAATGAGCTTTTTGCTTGTCCATAAGAAGGTATTTAAGAGGTATTCTTATAGGTTGAATTGTGCCCCTGCCCCAATTTACATGTTGAAGTCCTAACACAAAGCAAGTACCTCAGAATATGACCTTATTTGGAGATAGGGTCTTTACTGAGACAATCAAGCTACAATAAGGCCATTACAGTGGGTCCTAATCTAATTTGACTGGTGTCTTACAAGAAGGGGAAATTTGGTCAAAGACAGCTATGGGGAGAATGCCATGTGAGTGTGAAGATGCATATATATAAGCCAAGGAGAGAGGCCTGGAATAGATCCTTCCTTCACAGCCCTCAGAAGAAACCAACCCTGCCAACACCTTGATTTTGGACTTTTAGCCTCCAGAACTGTGAGAAAATAAACTTCTATCGTTTAAGCCACTCAGTTTGTAGTGCTTTCTTATGACAGCCCCACCAAATAACAGCTACCTACTTAATTTTTTCAAACTTTCGATTTTTCACAAACTTCAATTGTACATTATTACCGAAGAAACCTATCCTTATATTTATATTAATTTAATATTTGATCTCTCAACCCTAGAATAAAATCTATTCTGTTCTTTAATGGTAATGATCTGGACTTCATGATAAAAGTCATGATAGCTGCAAGAGGTGCGGAGATTCATTGAAAATAACACTTTATAACTGAATACACTGAGGCAAGCAGAAGTTAGAGGACTTTTAAGTCACTCAGTTAGTTACTGGTGAAGATAGTCCCACGGCTCCCAGTCGCCATGTTTTTCTGCTATAGCACACAGCCACCCTTAGGTATTAGCTAAGAATCACATATCAGTACAATGTTGTCTTTTTTTTTTTTTTTTT